CTTTTCATCTTGTTCTCCTGGGCATTTTCTTTTAGAAAAGGCCAGTTTCATCACAGTTGAAAACTTGATGAGGGCAAAAGCCATTTCTCTGTGTCATCGTTTCAAAGTGATGTACGGTATGTAATTTTTCAGAGGCCCTTTTATCAACACTGACTGCTTCACCATGCCTAGTTATGCTATGAACCCCAGTTCTCACTTTAAAAATGTGAAACCACTCCCTACTAGCACAAAATGTTTTAGCACAAAATTATCATTCATTGATTGATTAACCTTTACAACATCTGCATTATAGCCCTAGCTTTTTCAAAAATTATAGACTCAGGGCTGGGGATTTAGCTCAGTGGTTTCGACGCCTACTGCACAATCGCAAGGACCCGAGTTCGATCCCTGGTACCAAAAAAAAAAAATTATAGACTCAGATAGGCTATATAACCTGCCATCTAGCTTTCATTTATCCACACTAATAATAGCCCTCCAACCTTGTCTAACACCATCGATCGTGACTTACTAATTTGAGTAACACCTTTAACAACACTAGTTTCCTTATACAAATCGTTTCTCTGTAAGATTGTTGAGATGGCAGATTTCAACATGCTGTACATATCAGCAAGATCGGTCACAGGAACCCACTCTCAGTTCTCCACAATTTCCTCCTTCTTTTTGATTGTGATTCCTTTCTTTCCCTTCCCTTCCTTCTTTAGCTTCTTTTCTAGCTTTCCCAGAGCCATTTTGATAGCAGTAATTGTGGAGATTATATAAAGCACTGACCAAAATCTTGTCCACAAACATGCGCATCTGGGCTCAGGCTGATGCTTATGTATGCTTACATACATTTTTCCGGCATTGTGAGTCTTTGTTTTCAACCATGGCATTCAGGTCGTAACTCAAAACTTTGGTCCTAAATTAAAACTAAGATTCCGATCATAACCCAAGTTGTTTGTATGTGAGGCCAGTTGTAACTCAAAGGTCCACTGTAGTGCCTTATCAAATCTTAAAGGCAGATAGGTTCAGTATTAAGTCATTCTCATTTCAGCAGTGTCCAGAGCATTTGACTTTCCTTACATTAAAAACTGTCAGTATTAAAAAAAAAAAAAACTGTCACTATATATGTTCAAGTTCCACAACTTAATGTGTATATGGTTATGAGTTTTGGTAAATGTTTTCAATACATCTTATGTGCATCACTGGACATAAGATGGGCAGAGAAACTAGAGAATATATCCAGTATGTGGAATTTAGTAAATATTTAATCATAATCAGCACTAAGCTTAAGAAAAAAACCTAAATTCCCTTTGAGTAGACTAGAATAATTTTATCATTTAAAAAGAAGAGTCTGGGCCCATCTGTTTAAGAGTCAAAACAAATCTTAAAATAATAATTGTATCAAAGCTAAACCAAACTATTGTTATCTTTTTTCCTTTTGTTCACCATGTTAAAAACAAACAACAACTCCACATGCTTATACCTAAGGATCTGTAAAATACTGCATTAAAATTATAACAACTGCTTGAAAAACAGTGCACCTTCCAGCTTATTACCACTGTGAGGGTAAAACTATTGTGAAAGCCAAGGCCTTCCAGTAACTGAATGCTCTTGGAGAGTGTTCAAGATAATGTTATAGTAAATTTCCAACTTGTTTTATCTAAGGTCAAGGAAAATAAGTTATCTAAAGCATAGGGTTATGTTTAAATAGATGCTAACTAAAAGTTTTTGTTGTGGTGATAGTGGTTTTTTGGTTTTGTTTTGTTTTTGTGATGGTGGGGATACAAGCACTCTATCACTGACCTACACCTCCAGCTCAACTAAAAGTTTGACCAGATAATCACTCAGGAAAATCTTTACTCTGTGCCCATAATGGACCCTAAATCTAGTAAGAGCCATATAAGGGATAGTTGTACCTAGAAATGTATGTCACACATTAATTACTTAATATTGAAAATTTTCAAACCAATCACTCTCCTTCTGAAAGTACTGTATGTTGGCAGAATCTGTTAAATTAGTGGTTTACAATGATACTGAAAATCTCCAAGCTCCTAAATTTTGGACAGCAAGTGCTGGTGGTTACTCTTTGGTTCCTAGCTTTAAGCCAATGTTTAGAGTCTCCTGCAATTTTGGCTCAGCTTGGCTTTTATGTTTTGCATGTCTGATAAATATAGAAAGAAACAAAGGCGCTTTGTATATATGTGACCATGTGTGTAGATATACATATATGACGCTCCAGAGAAGCTGTGCTTTCACTCATAACAATTTTTTTTATAAAGTTCTGCAAAATTGAGAAGGAAAAGCCAGCAGTTAACAGAAAAGCCAACAGAAGATTAGTAAAGTGAGATTCTGGAAGCCAAAAAGCTAAATAAAGCAAATACAGAAAACAAACAAACCCAATACATTTTCACTGAGTACTTTTATCTATAAATGTTCACGTTTTTAAAAAGTTGAGTAGTATGCCAACTTTCATTTTTGAAGAACATTCTAAGATAAATTTATAATTCTCAAGAGAAATAATTCAAGTTTAAAGAACTGCATACAAAAATAATAAAAATGAGAACTGCAATGTAAAGAACAAAAACAAATATGCTTTTATAGGAAACATGGTAGCTGTCTGAAAAATTAAAACTGGGATGGGCTGAATATAGCATATAGGAGACTCAAAAAGAACAAATTAAGGGCTGGGGATTTAGCTCAGTGGTTCTGCCACCTGCCTCGAAAGCCCAAGGTCCCGAGTTCAATCTCCAGTACCCAAAAAAAAAGAACAAATTAAGATGAATATTCCCAATGTATCCAACATATACTGAAATAAGCAATAGAATTCCAATCAACATTTGCTACAAAAAATTGCCAGAATGAAATGATAGATTTGTTGCAATGTATCTTAAAACGTATGAATACTGAGTTATTAAGATTCTAGTATTAATGGTTTAAGGATTTGGCCTGGAAGACTGAAATTTGCCCAGCAGTGAAAATAAAGCCTCGCTAAAGGCATTTATTCAACAATAAGCTAGAGATGCCTTTTGATACTGTTCACTATATACTGTACACAAAACTAGCAACAGATTGGTTTAAAACAGTTTGGATTTTCAACTTCCCATAATAAATGCAACATTTTTAGAAGTGATCACATTCAAATAAATGTCTTTACAGTTATGGGATGAAATCTGAAGCTGGACTGGCACCAATGCCCTGGTTTTCTACATTTTTGTAAGCCATATGACTTCCACACGCTGAGGGTGTTTTATGCTTTAACCTGCAGTAATGGCTTTACATCATTTTAACGCCCCAGTGCTTAAAACGCAACAGAATCAGCCCAATGAATGTAAGTAATATATCTGGTATATAGATATATAATGATTTGGATCCAACTACTAGCCAGAAAAAGTTTAATGAACATTTTCCCCAGTAAATGCTTTGCATTTCCATAGATGGAAACAAAAAGAAAGGGTGGATAAAGCGAACGCTATTTTTTCTGCTCTTAACAAGCATTTTATAGCTAAGATAATTGTTAAATATTTTTAAATTCAATGACTATCAAAGTGTGTTTCAGAAAATCAAAAATAACACTCTACTGTGTAGTTACATAGGATTTTTCTCCAAAGAAAACATTTTTGCAAAGTAATGTTTCAGTTTAAGATGCAAGCTTAAAACAAGTAATTCTAGAAATCCTGCAATCTACCAACTAAAGGGTCAGCTTTGTAATAACATATTCTATATATTAAACTTGGGATTTAGAAGATACATCAATGGTTTTTCTATTCAGGTCAATCTATGTATGCTACTTCATGCTTACAGTCCCCTTACCTGTGTGAATGACCAACAGCAGAAATTTTAAATCAAAGGTTTCAGCACCTACTATAAAATTATACAGTGTATCTACATGACTTTTCGTTTTTACAGAATCTAAACATTCCTTATGATAGGTAGCAGATGTAAGAACTGGTAAATTCCTAATCAAATATATAAATACCTTAAATCCTCAAAAGTATAAATAGAAATTATGCCAATTCCTTCATTTAAAAGTCTACAACACTAAAAAAGCATCACATAAGAAAGGTTATTGACAAACTTGTATTTCAGATTGAAGGAAGGACAAAATACATGATCTTAAATTCTCCCAGAGCAATGTTATTAAATATTAAAGACTGTGAGAAACAAATGTTGCACTCCTCTTCCGCTTAACTCTAATTCAAAATTGAAAGAAAATCAAATTTTCCAGACTTATAAACATAATTCAGCTAGATCCAGCAATTTATTTGTGCAATTTTAACAAGTTTAACACAAAACACTGCAGACCTGATTACCTGTAATAATTACCTACGGCATAAATGAAAAATTAAAACAAACACAGGTCTTTTTCACTCGATGCATTTTAGAGTAAAACCATAAAAAGCACAACCATATTAGTATAAACTAAAAAGAATGCCACAGGAGGTATTATATCCATCAGGAAGGAAAACATATGCCAAGGAAGAAAGGAGGAGGGAGGAAAGAAATAAGGGAAAGAGGGAAGAAGGAAGAGAGAAGCCAAAGGTCTCTATACTTGCAGGATTCTAGAGGAATGAAGTACCCTATATGAGTTTTTTTTAAAGCTTCAGACTAAACAAAAACAGCAATCACTTTATACTATTCAACTTCACATAGTGTAGAATCTTTACTGCTAACTGCATTCTTCTATTCACTCACCTAATGCTTCCTCACTCTTCCATAGGAGCTTTCAGGCAAATGTGAGAACAGGGTGGGGTGGAAGAAAAATACAAGCAGCGCCTTTCGGCGCACCCCGTCCTTCCCCGCTAATAATTTCCAATAGTTTATTATTAGTATTATTAGTATTATTAGTATTACTACTACAAAAAATAAGTCGTCCTATCTCAGGACACAAAAAAAATTTAGTCTCTTAGAAGGCACAGGCGTGTATGCAATCCAGCACTCCCGATCCCCACCCTACTCCCCCGAATTTTAAGTAATTATTCATCTACTGAACGCGAAGAATACAAGATGCCTCTACCTACTGTTTCGGGGTGAAGGTGGGTGGAGGACGCCTTTCAAAGTAGCCCCAATCGTGTAACCAAAACACGGTTCCGGAATAAAATATTAAGAAACACTTTTCCTTTCCCACCTATCTACCGACTTCGGGATGCAAAGATCCATCTCTACATCACATCATCACTACAATCCTCCAGCCCGGAGTTTGGGGTGGAGATCTGTCTAGGGGAGGGGACGAAGGCGGGTGGCGGAGAGTGAGCGGGCAATGGGACACAAACGAGTTGCTGAGCCCAGATACGCACGCCACGTCTCAAGCCCAAACGTCCAGCGCCAGGACACACGCACGCCTCCAGGCCCAGGAAAGCTAGGACTCTGGCTATCTAACTTCCCATCTCCGCACATTCCTCCGAGACAAGCCCAGCACACGAGGACGCGTCACACAGTTTAAAACAGTTATACACCCCAAACAAACCGACACACCTCAAAACCACCTCACAGTTTCCCAAACTCCACGCAGGAGACCCCACCTCCAAAATTCAAACCTACCACCCATAGTGGAGGAAACTAGAAGCAAAGAGTTGGAGAGCAGTCGACGCCTTTCCATTACAGTCCCCCACAAACTGCCCCGCCCCACACCCCGCGTCGGGGTCACCCTCTCCGAAGCCCCCCGCTAGCTCCTTCCTCTCTCAGTCCGGCTGCTCAAGAAACCCATCCTGGCGCCCACTCACTTTCTCCCCAAAACCCCTCAATTTTTCTTTTCTTTAAAAGAAAGAAGACACTTGAGGCAGTCCGGCTTCAAATCGCTCGACTCACCTCAGAATCCTTGCTGAGTTCTCTCCGCCCGGCACAGCCCCCTCCCCAGCGTCCCGGTGCAAAGGCTGAGGTAGGGAGGTGGGAAGCGGGAGGGGGAGGGGTATCTTCCGCGCGGGGCGCCCGACGGGAGGGGCTGGGGAGGGCTTGAGGCCAGCGCAGGAAGAGGAGAAGGGGGAGGGGAGGCCCCTATCTCCCAGTCTCCCCCTGAAAACCTCCCTTGTCTCAGTCACATCAGACTGACTGTCTTTGTCTGGCTGACAACCGCCATATTGATATCAACAGCCCCGATCCCACCTGCTGCTGCCGGGCATCCCTGGGAGTTGTAGTTTCTCCCTCCCTTGAGTAAAAGCTCCGGGGTCGGTGTCTGGAGGTCATCAGGAACTACAACTCCCGGCAAGTCCAGCGCCTAGCCGCCTTCCCACAGGGAGGAGGGGAATGGGTGAGCCGGAGCCGCAGGGACTACACATCCCAGAATCCCCTGGGTCTCAGGCCCATAGCGGGGACATGATATCATGCGCTGGGGTGGAGAGGGAGGATGAATTGGCGGTGGAGATAAATCTGAGTTGACGGAAGGAGGCGTTCAGAAAGGAAAGGGAAGAAAGGGAAAGATGACCACAGTTCCCATGATGCCTGGGGAAGACTACATGTCCCATGATGCCTCGGGAAGGGGCGCAAGGAGGAAAAACTGCAATTCCCGCGATCCTCTCGGCGGCCGGCGGCGGAGATTGGACCGGAAGAAGCTTCCAGGGTTTAAGAAGTGGTGAGACTGATACCGAACAGCCAAAAGTCCGACATGAAACTGGTAAGTCTCCTGTGCTTGGTCAGAGGGCAGAGGTGATGCCATATTCTTTCTGTCTTCGTCGTTTCTACCTGAGGCAGGAACTGTCGTAAACGAAGGGTGGCAGCTGGGGAACTGGGTAGTGGAGTGGACTGAGAAAAGCTGATTTTTTTGTAGTTGAAGTTTGATTTCCCTCTCTCAACCTGCAGCCCTCTCAGCTGTCCATAGATTTTAATCACGCTTTGGCATTTCTGTAAAGTCAAACGTGAGGTTGACTGACATCTTTTTCACCTGAGAGTTAAGGTTAGGCTCCGTGAACTAAGCTTGGTTTTGCTTCTCAGCTTCCATGTTAATGTTATAATAGGTTGTTAACAAACTTTCCATTCAGTAAGCACTCGAGTAGCCAATTTCCCTGCAGTTGTTGAGAAAATGAATTCAGTCCGAACCGAGAGTTGAAAATGACGAACATCACGTGGTCACTTGTTCAAATTTCCTGCTACAGACCCCCAACAGCCTTAGAATTCAGACAAAGTTGTGACTAGGATGTGCTCTTGGAGGAATTGAGTCTTAAACCCTACCAAGATTTGGATGGGCAGAGAGGAAATTGTTAAAACATTACATTTTAGCGCTTTAAGGAACACATGAGCCAGGGCTGGATGGAACATGCTTGTATTCCTGGAAAAGAAACTCAAACGCTTAGCTTATAGGAAAGCTTTTCAGACCCTTGTTTTGAACCATTTTATTCCCAGTGTTCACATAGTTGTTAATTTAGTTTATCCGAACTGTATTGAAATACTAATAACATACTTAGAATAGAAATGCAGGTGTGAAATGCTGTTTCTCAACCTTTGAAAATCCATGTTCTTGCAACCAAGTTAGTGTCAAGCTTTATTTTCTGTTATATGAAAATAAAAGATTTGTTTTCTTTTTTCTATTTATGTAATTATTTAAATATGCTTTTCCCACTTGATAATCACTAGGTGTTTCCTGAGAAGTCAGAGAAAGTATTAAAAGTAGATTCAACTCCAAAACACTCCATTTAAGCCATTTATAACACAAAGGATGTAGGTCAGTAAACTTTGAGAGTATCAGTTTGCCTCAGGGTCAGTGTGCTAAACATATAATGCAGAATTGAAATTTACACCCTGTACCTCAGAGAAACAGGCAACCTAGGAAAGAAAACAAAAAAGCTAGCCAAAATTAGAATGGACTGTGTTCATGGTGAAATAAAGGCATTATAAGGTTTTGGGAACTGAGACCACAGATGACTAGAGAAGTCAAGAGAGCTTCCTGGAAAGGTAGCTCTTGAACTGTTAAGGATGAGTAGGGGCCTACATATGTAGCTCAGCAGTAGAGTGCTCACTTTAGTATACATGAGCCCCTACGTTCAGTCTCCAGCATAAAAAAAAAAAAAACAGATAAGATCTTCCATGAAGAGTTCAGCTTATAGGATCAAAAGAACTTGGCACCTTAATAGTTGAACATAAGCCCTATGTCATCAATAAAGAAAAAAGCCATGCTTGGTATGCCCAGTTAAAGGAACCGGGAAGTGTGGAAGTTTTTTTGATAACACTTGTTATGGTATCACAGAGCCAGGGTTTACTTTACATATACTTTGCTCATGAAATCTTGCTTAATTAATTTAGAGACGTGAAAAGATGGAAGGGGAAAAAAGAAAATTACCTTTTCCTTTAAGACTCAGAAGGTGAGTTGGGCGTAGTGGCACATGCCAGTTTCTCAGGCAAGAGAATCTTGAGTTCAAAGCCAGCCTGGACCCTAGCAAGACCCTTCCCAACAAAACAAAAGAAAAACAATGAAAAGATGCCTCAGAGGAAAAGGACATGTTCTATTGATGCTACCTCATTCTTTACCTTCACACCATCTATTTATTATATACTAAAAATCTTTTGGTATTTAAAGATAGATCATCTATCTATAACGCAGAATTCTTGTTATTATTAGTCATGATTGGAAAGGAAACCAAACCAAGTATTGCAAACACATAGGCTTCAGCTGATTAAAACAGAAGGATCAGACTGCTTCTATAACAAAGGGAACAGCAAGCTTGTATTATCTGCTTGGGTGGGCTAAAGTCTGGTAATGTTCCATAGGCCAGGAATTGCTGAATTACTTTTGTATCTTGTGACATCATCCTGTGCAAACATCCTGACCTTGTGGTTCAATCTGAGCCTTAGGATGTGACTAAAAGACTTTAGATGCTCAGCTGTTGGAGCAGCTGAAGGACCATACAGGTAGAGGTAGACAGAGAAAGAAGATCCATACTACTTTCAATAGGCAAGCAACATGTCTGTGTATGGCACTCCACAGAATCTGGCTCAAAGGTTAAAAGGTAGCAGAAGGAAGAGACACAATATGAAAACAGATGCCACACCTTTATCCCATTCCAGTCACCCATCAGACATCTGTAGGCCAAAGTGAAGAGTCATCTTTCTCAGCAAAAGTGATCTTTAGATCCCTGAGAAGTAACCTAGGCATCTGTTATTTATCATAACTCCTATGTCAGAGGTGTTATCTACAGCAAAGCTAATGGGAAACTAATAATTGATTACTAAGTTGTGTAACCATTAAAACTAGTTAAGTCTACTAAGAGCAAATGAAGCCAGAGGATTTATTTAGATTTTTTGTTGGTAACAATTTTATCATCTTGTGTAAATATTCTGCTTTTGTGGTTTCATCATAGTCTCCTGAGAGGTCTGTTGAAAAAAGCACCCAGGCACAGAAGCAACATGCCATCCTATAAAGGATATTTTACTGTGCCCAGGGACTTTAACCCCCCCATGGTGATCCCTGACTGTCTCACTGTCAATATGCCAAAGTGGTCTCAAAAGCATTGTTGTGCACTAAATTACACTTGTCTATTGTGCTTTCCCATGGCCTAATTTTTTTATTTTAATATAATACCAGTAGATATTAATAAAGAAGCACTCTTCTTTCTATGAAAAAATAAAATTTCATAGCAATTCAAGAATAACAATAGTTAATACATTGTATCATAATCTTAGAATGGTCAAAATGTTACTCAGAGTACAAGTTGTACACAAAAAAAGACCCTCTTACAAAGAAGAAACAGATTAAAGCACAAAACTTTCTCTTCAAGAGAAACTAATAGTTTAAATGAAATATTCGCGTATATATTAAAATATTTTTCAAACAATGGAATAGATCTTTTGCAGAATTATTTGGACTTCTTTCTATTTTCTATTTTGTACACACACATTTCTTTTTTAGTTTCTCATGTAAGAGAAACCATGCAGTATTTAAGCTTATTTCACTTAACATAACATTATGTTCTCAAGTTGTATCCATTTGCCTGTGAATGCCTCAAGTTTAGCTTTCTTTATGGCAAAGTAGTACTCCATTGAGTATAAATACATTTTATCCATTCATCTGTCAATGGACATATATGCTGCTTCCTTTGTGTACTGCTACAAGATATAAGGTAGATTGTTTTAATTTTAAATTATAGGTTCTAGGAATATAGTTCAGTGGTAGAGTGCCCAGCATGTACAAGCCCCTGGGTCTGATCCACCAGCATCACACACACACACACACACACACAAACATTTTATATCATGAAACAGATATACATTTACTGAGCACATTCTTAGTTTAGAGATTGATTTTCCTGAGTATCTTTCTTACATACAACTTATGACCAAATCTCATTGATTTACCTCTTAATGAAAGTTTCTTGGATTGGTATGTTTCTATTTTCACTAAAACTGCCTTTATATATGTTCTTTTCACTTGTCACTTGGAATTCACCCAAGACTTTCTAACTGGTCTTCCCGCATGCCGTCTTGACATCTCAGTCTCCTCTCTGAATACCAGCAGTTATTTTAGATTACAGACTTTTATAAAACCCTCGTATAGTTGCTTCTTTTGCCCTTAGGATGAAGTCATACTTCTTAACTAGGTTGACTTGGCCCCAAAGAATATGGCCCTGCCTGTCTCTCCACCTCACATTTAGCCCTCTTTTCTCTTACTCTCTTTGTTCCACTCATTTATCAGACAACTTCCATCCAGTTACTTGAAACTCACCCTGTTCTTGTTTGTCTCTGGAACTCTGAATATGCAGTACTATTTGCCACATTGAATTTTTTTTTTTTTTTTTTTTTGGCCTGGCTAACGTCTTCATCTATTTCAGGTCTCTGCCTAGCACTTCTTCAAGG